CTTGTACTTGGCAACTGTGTTTCACTCTTCTTACAATGCCCAAAGTCATGTCTTGCTTTTTAGGGGCACATATTAATTATACAGAATAAATTTCATTGTGACATTTTTATATATGAATGCAATATACTGTGATCATATTCACCTCTCCATTATTCTCCCTTGCCTTCCCCTCCCTACTCATTTCTATTTCTCTAATAGTCTCCCTTCTACATTGAAGTATTTTTTTCCTTCATTTTCTTGATTCCACACATGGGGGTTAAGGTAGAATATTTGTCTAAGGCTGGCTTACTTCACGTAACATAATCTCTAGTTTCATCCATTTTCCTAAAAACAACATTACATTGCTCATTATGGTTAAATCATACTTCCATTATGTATATAGTATCACATTTTCTTTAATTATCCACTGATGAGCCACTGTAAATAGTGGCACAATTAAGATGGGCATCCAAGCATCTTGGTCAAATGCTAATTCTGCTTACTTCAAAAAAACACTGGGACAGTATAGTTGGATCATGTGGCCATTCTACTTTTGATCTGGAGAATTTCTATCCTGACTTCCATAGTGGTCATACTAATTTAGGGATACAGTTTTTCTTCATCCTCACCAGCATTTATTATTTTTTATACTTTTGATAGCCATTCTGACTGAGGTGAGACAGAATCTCAATGTCGTTATGATTGGTATTTCCATGATGGCTAAAAGATGTTAAACAATTTTTTCATATAATTCTTAGCCACTTGTAACTCTTTTAAGAAGTTCTGTTCATTTTCCATCTACTGATTGGATTGCTTGTTCATTTGGTGTTCAGTTTGTTGAGTTCTTCATAGTATTCTGGGTACTAAGCCTCTGTCACAAAAGTAGCTGACCAAACTTTTCTACTATTATATAGGCTGTCTTTTCACTGTTATTTTCTTTGTTGTACAGAAGCTTTTTAATTTGATGCAATTCCATTTGCCAATTTTTGCTATTTTTGTTGAACTCCTGAAGTCCTATTTAGGAAGTCACTGTCTACACCTGTATCTTGAAATGTTTACCCTATATTTTAATCTGGTAATTTCAAAGTTTCAGGTTTTCCATTAAGGTGTCTTTGATCAATTTTTTTGTTGATTTTATTCAGGGTAAGAGACAGGGGTCTAGTTTCAATCTTCTACATACAGATAATTCATTTTTCTCAGAACAATTTGTTAAAGAGTCAGTATTTTGAAAGAAATTTCTATTAAATTCAAAAGCTTAAAAACAAACTATGACAAAACAAAACCTTTTGCCTACTCTTTCTAGCTAGTTCTGTGGTGGGTCTAAGTCATCCATGGCCTCAGTGGTTAGTTATTGTGCACTGTAGCACAAGAAAGATGAGTATCTGGGTATGTATCTTGGTCAAATGCTGATTTTGATTCTGCTTTCACCTTGGTCTCTAGATCCTGTTGATACTGAATTTAACACCCAATGATGAATGTTTATAGTCTTTTAGTGTTTTTTTTTTTTTTTTTTTTAAACCAGGAATTGAACTCATGACAACCTTGTACTTGCTAGGCACGCACTTATGCTACTGAGCTACTTCCCCGGATCTTATGTTTTTCTAAGCATGTGTCCTACCTCGGGCATGCATGTGGCTTTCTAAATTTTCCTGTACATACTAGTGCTCTAAATGCCTTAACTACCAAAGTGTCCCTCCCCCGCCAAAAAAAAAAAAAAAAAAAACACTTATCCAGGACTCGGGCTTTTTCCTAGGCCTCAGGAAGTCTACTGTATGTCTCACTGTAATTTTTACACAAATCAGCTGCAAGATTTTTCATTTGCCTTATGTTTCTAATCAATGCCCACTTGCTTTTTATCCCTGACAAAGTTCTAAATTAGGTGACACAGATACATAAGTACTAGTCACAGCTCTTCGGGTAGCTTCCAAATGTGTTAGAAAGCCAAATACAATAATTTGCAAATACGGTTTAGCTTGGCACCAGAGACCTAGGTCACACACTAGGAATATAAGTTGCTCTCTTCACATCAACTGTCAAGTTGGGAAAAGGGTGCAGCAAAGACAAGCAAAAAAGTCACAATGCATTCCTGGCATTTTTTAGTTACCCTTTTCCTGGTTCAACTTTTCCTTGGTTGCTATAAACTTCTGACTTATTTTCCAGAGTTCTGACAATGTTATTCTAATAGTTCTGGCTTGTTTTTCAATGGTTTTGTAGAGAGACATAATTTTAAAGCTACCTAATAGACACAACACTTTGCTGACACCATTCTAAATCTTTATTTTTAAAAACTTGAAAACTCATTGTATAGCTAAATTGAAATTTTTTTTTTGTCTTTTTCCTTTTTATCGGTACCAGGGATCGAACTCACGACTACCTGCTTGCAAGGCAGGTGCTTATGCCACTGAGCTAAATCCCCAGACCCGCTAAATTGAAATTTACTAAGGCAAAATTTATTCTTTTGAACCATTTTAATCTGGAAAATACCTACAGTAACACATTTCTAGAAATTTTTACTGAGATCCACAAATTAAACTGATGTGCAACAGTGAGTCACATACAATAGTAACTTAATGGATGTAATTTCTTGAATTTAATATTGTACTTTTACTATTATTTGATTTCTGACAAATGCTAGATAGTTAGGATATATCAGAAAAACTAAACAACTTATTACTTTTAGGTAAATGCTCTTTACACACACACACACATTCCAGGTATATAACTATAGTTTTATAGGATGTTTATGATAGATATACAATGCACTAATTGTTCCACTAGTCAAATTATTTGATATGACTTTTATGGAAATAAAAGTATTCAAATTTCAAGGTGGTACTTTGCAAAAAAAGACAGTCTAATGTGTAGGTGCTTCACAGGTTTGTAAAGCACTGTTAAAATTTTTTCCATTTTTTTTTGTTTTGTTTTTTTTTGGTAGAGGAATCAAACAGACACTTGTGCCACTGAGCTATATCCCCAGCCCTTAAATATTGTTAATCAAAATCCAAAACTTTATTTAAAATCTTAAACTATAGATCCATTAGCACTCAAAATGAAATGCTTTGTTTTTTTTGCAAACTAATAGAATTCAAAAGCAAGCAGATCAGTATTTGCTAAAGTCAATCAAAATCATAGCATTTAAAACCCTACTATATTTTAAAGTCATTATCAATAAACTATATACCATTCTAAAACATTTGCCAGTTTTTACTGACAGTAAAAATTACCAGTAGAATTAACAACTCAGTCAACTACCAAGTTACTGAGTTAGGAGAAAATAATAATCTTAAGGAAATGTATGCATTATGAATAATTTTATTCCTGGCTTTTGCAACCTTATTATACATCAAAGTTGTCAGCTTACTGAGATCATAACAAACTCTTACAGAAGAGTTTATCAAATACCAATGGGTCATAAAGCTAATACAGAGGGTGGAGATCAAGGCCCAAATTTAACATAGTATCAAAGAATAAAACAGATATCAATATACTTGCACATAAAGATAAATATGATAGTCTTACTATACCCATAACACTACTCCATCAAGAGAAGTATCTAAAATAGGATATCTCTTCTTACAGCACAGCCTTAAGCACAGGAAAATATTACTATGTACACTTCAATGAGATTCCTGTGAAATTACTGAAGAAAAATATTGAAGGGGTATTGTTTTATTATTTCTCTGCGAATACTACCTCATATAGTTTATTCATAATTTAGAAATCTTGAAAATCTGAAGTAAACATCTAAACAATTTAACAAACCATAATGCGTCATACGTTCTTTGAAACTCATTAATTTCAAACTAGTAAAATTTACAATGCTTAATTGACACACTAAGTAATGATCTTTAAGAACATTCTAATTTCTCCTTACTTCGACCATAACTATGCTAATAGTGTATTTCACAAATATTATACGGAACATTCTCAGAAGTTTGCTAAACTGGTACCTAGTGGTGTACAAAGATTTAAATATGTAACACACTTAATCCAGTTCATGCTGCATAAACCTTTATAGAAAATGTTTCACCGTAAAACTAACTTGCTGAAAATTTCTATCAAAAAAAGCAAAATCATGCTACATTCATAAAACGTGTATTTCCTCATAAGTGATTGCTTTAATATATTTTAAAACTTCATAAAGCATTTCACTCATAAATCATTCTATAGAAAGCAGAAACCGACCAGGAAAATTATTAAAATAAGTGACCATAACTGGACAATTTGCCTTTCGTAAATTGGTAACATTCTCAATACACAAATTGAACTGACAAACTCAGTAGTCAGTAGGACAGAATTAGGACAGTAGCCTGAGGTTCTTCTAAATACTGAGTTTTCAATGAACTCATTAGGTTTAAACTTAAGGATCTTCACTGGTTCAGTGAAGAAGCTTTAAATCCCACTTCTAAAGGAAAGTATCTCAAAAAGAAAGTACATATAAATCTACTTTCAATAAAATTATTAGGCCACATATAGGTAAATACCACGTTTTTACTGATTTTATACGCTTCAAACTGGACCTTCACTTCATGTCTTAAAATACTCAGTATTTTAAAGCATATAAGCAGGTCATCTAGTAACTGAAAGGAAAAACTGAAACTTAAATTTTAGCTCTACCCAAACTGCTGACCCAAACTACATACTGTTACTTAATGTAAAACATGACACTAAATCTTTTTTTAAAAACTCGTAAATTAGTAAAATTGCTGGCCACAGAAGCTGATGCACTTACTACAAAACACTCTAGTTCACAAACCCAAGTAAATATTCATGGTGTGTAAAATGACTCACTTTAGGCTTTAAGCATTTTTTTTTTTTTTTTTTTTTTTTTGTCTTTTTCGTTTTTATCGGTACCGGGGATTGAACTCATGACTGCCTGCTTGCAAGGCAGGCACTTATGCCGCTGAGCTAAATTCCCAGCCCCTAAGCATTATGTTTAATATGAAAACTTTTTAAAGTGTTGCTTCAAAAGAACAGTTTGAATTGCTGAATAAATTCATTGTATAAGTGTTCAAATTTACCTGTTTGAGTCCTTCATCAGTAAGTTTGTCCTGGTTGCCTACATGTACTTTTTGAAGTAAAGGACAGTGAGAGGCAACCGCAATAATAGAGGTGTCAGAAAGCTGTTTACACCTGTACGCTGTATACCTAAGTAGTCCAGGACACTTAAATGCTAGAACACAAACGCCAGTGTCAGACATACTGCGACAATCAGAAATGTTGATTTCTATTATATTCTGACTTCTTGATGCAATTTTTTCCAATAATTCATCAGTGACCTAGGAGAGAAAGAAAGCAATAAATTTAAATTGTTCCTAAAAGCAGAAAGTTACATTTTATATTTCTCTCATAATATTCATTAGATCATAGAATAACTACATAACAAAAAGAAAAACCTTCATATTAAAGCATAACAAGAACTGTGATATGATAAAAATATGTACTTTTGCTCTCTATCCTCCACTTTCTGACAGAGCTTCTAAAACTCTTGTAATTTCCTGATTGCTCATGTCATTGTTATTTATAACAAATCCTTGGACCACACCAGTTGGTCAGAACTAGCTGCCTCAGAGTCTGCCACTAGACAGTGCTTCACTATGGGGTTGGCTACCATAAAAACTAACCAGGTGAACAAAGGGTGTTGTTTTTCAGGAGGGGCTATATCTAGGTAATAAAAACTCCTCAACAAGGATATTCAAAGAGCCTCTAAATTGAGAAACACATCCATGTGCCAGGAGGGTGACATACCCCATACCTTGCCTTATGAGACATTTCTGTTTGGTTGCTCCTGAGTTATATTCACTATAATAAATCAGTAAATGTAAGTTTTTCCTGAGTTCAATATGTTTAGCTCCTTATAAAACCTGAGGTCTCACTGGAGGAACTCTTGAAATTTACAGCTCTTCAATCAGAGGTATAGGAGGCTCCAGAGATTTGCAACTGACATCTGAAGTGGAGGCACTCTGTTAAGACCCTTAACTTGTGAGGAATATGCTAACCTTGGCACATAGTGTTGGAAATGAACTGAATTGGATGCTCAGGTGTGTAATATTGGTTATTAATGTAAAAGAAGCTATGCCTTAGGTGTCAGAAGCAATGTGAGAAAATACCAAGGAAAAATATGTGTATTAACTTTCAATGAAAGCCAAAAATTTTATCCTTTTTGGGGAAAAACTGACTTTAGTTCAAATTTAAAGCTTACCAAAAATTTACCACAAACAAAACTACATTGAGATTTTAAATGCGATGTTTTCCACTTTTAGATCAGCAAATGATGTACATCAGTCATGCTATATGAACGCTGATTTTTTATACATGATATCACATAATACTATAGGTTTAATTTCAATTGCTTTACTACTATCAGGATACTAACACATATGTAATTAATTCATAGCATAGAAAATATACATTGTATTTCAAAATACTAAAAATCCTATAGAAATGTCCATGTCAAAAAAATGTATTCAGAACATAATCAATCTTATAATTTATCAAACAAAATATTCACACAGACATCAGAATTTTTTAAAAAGTCAATCTCGGGGCTGGGGATTTAGCTCAGCGGCAAAAGCGCCTGCCTTGCAAGCATGTGGTCATGAGTTCAATCCCTGGTACCAGTAAAAATACAAAAAAAAAAAAAAAAAAAAAGTCAATCTCTACATGTTCCCTGACCAATCATCACACTTGAAAGGGAACCAGAGTTAATGTTACTTAAGTCCTTGGGGTAAAAATAACAGAAGGAAAATTCACATGAAATTTAAAATGGAAAAACAAAAACAAAATAGACAGCTGAAAAACAGAAGGAGTCAGAGTCAAAAATAAAACTGTTTATGCTTTCTGAAAACAGCATCAGTGGAAACTGCTCCCTGAAAGATTAAAAGTTTGATATACTTCTCCTTTTATTTCTTTTTTTTTTTTTTTTGTACCGGGGATCAAACTCACGACCTCATTCTTGCAAGGCAGGTGCTTGTGCCCTGAGCTAAATCCCCAGCCCCTCCTTTTATTTTTTCACCTCCAAATCTTACTATCAGCAGAGGAAAGTCATTCTTAGTGTAATTTTGCTATAAACAGTTTTGACATCGAAGAGTAATGAAGTAAAGGGTAAATGGATTATTTCACAATTTTTTTATTCTATTAGACACAACTGACATCATTCTCTCTATACACAAATTTCATGAACTTAAGCAATAACTAATTCTGTAATTGTTTTAAACTCTTACCAACAAGCAGAAAACAAAAACTGAACAATTTAATATAAATGCTCAGGAACTTGTCTGTTCAAAATGTGACCATCATACATAAACTACCAGTGGTGTAGAACTGACTTATACTGATTCAAGCGCCTAAACTGTGAGCTTCTTTCCAAATCTAAATTCAATGGCATCACATACATAGCTTGAAAATAGCCATGGTAAAATGATTTATATCATAGAATCAGACAAGAAGCAAAAATCAGAACATTTTTTGTAAGCTTGTTGTTAAATATCTAACCACACTTCAGTAAGGTAGTAATATTGGAGGCATTTAGAACAGGTTTATTAGTCCAAAAAAATCCTATTCTCATCGGGTATTTTTATGTATTTCTAATGCTAACTACTATCAAGTTTTAAGTATGAATTCAAAATGTTCCAAAAAACTGCAATAAGCACTGTAAGTTCCAGGATTCCATCAACATGAATAAAGAAAATGTGGTATAAATATAAAATGGATTAGTATTTGGTCATAAAGAATGAAAACATGTTATTTGCAAAAAAAAAAAGGATGACATTTGAAACCATGTTAACTAAAATAAGTGAGACACAAAGTTAAATTTCATAGTTTCTTATGTGAAAAACCAAATATAAATTTAAAAAATTAAAGCAAGCTAGTATAAAACAAAAAGGCAACATTTCTTTGTGTGTGTGAGGTGTTTTTTAGGAGGGGTTGGGTTTTTTGTTTTGTTTTGATTTGTTTTTGTCTTTTTGAGACATAGTCTCACTATGCAGTTCAGTCTGACCTTGGTCTCACTTTGTAACCCATGTTGTTCTCGAACTTGCAAACAATTCTCCTGCCTCAGCCTCCCAACTGCTGGAATTATAGGTATGTGCCACCATGCCAGCTTTTAAGGCAGGTATTTTGAGAAGCTAAAAGAGGTTGGGGAGGGGGATACAAAGGGAGGCAAAGGAATTATAAATTATCCAGTGTAATAGGAGAATTAGAAAATTTGTCAAAAGGAAAGTTTTTAAATAAGAGCATATGTTACTTTCATTTCTTCAGCCATGAAACACTGAAATAGTACCTCTTCATAGCTTTGCTCTGAGGATCAAATGCGTTACTATGCATGAAGCCCTCAGAATAGTACACAGCACAGAGGCAGAGATGCACAAAAAGTTTGCCATCAGTTTCTACTGTTAAACTATTACAACCTCTCCACAAAAAGGAATTGTTTACTAATTTTAAAAAGTCAAGGCTGGGGATATAGCTCAGTGGCACAGTGCCTGCCTGGCAAGCACAAGGTCCTGAGTTCAATTCCCAGTACAAAGAAAAAAAAAAGTCAAAGGAAAAAGAGGAAAGACATAAAGGAATATGATAAATATTTTAAAAGACCTAAATTACCTAGGTATGCTTAAAACTATCTTGTTCACTATAATAACCTAGCTTCAACTTTAATTTTGCAAAACTACATTAAGAAAGCACAAAATTGTATACTGTAGCCATTTGAACTACCTTGAACAACATAGAAGAGATTTTTTAAGAGGAAGGAGTTTTTTTAAAACTCAGTAGGTCAAATTGAGTATTTCCATACCTGTTGACGACTACTAAGATCCAACTGCTTCCAAAACTGGAAATCTAAACAAAGGTCACGCCAATACTTGCAAACCAATGATGCAGAAAGGCAACGTTCATCCAGGGACAAATTGGAAAATATCTGTAAATAAAAAGAAAACATACATGTAGTAAACATTTCCCAGGCATAGGAAAAGGCTTTAATTAGTTAGAAAATTATTTAAAATAAGAAAACCACCTTGAATACAAGTAGCCATAGAAAAGTCATTGTTAAGGGTTACTCTATACAGGAGCTAAGAACAGGGACTGAAGAGGGAGAGAACGAAGGGATACCAGCATGTATGTATGCATCTGTGTATTTGTTTGTATTTTTAAAAGATTGGAAGGATAAGCCAAAAACCAATAAAGACTGCTTATCTTTAGGGAAAGAGAAAAAAGACTAGGAAGAGGACTAGAATGAAAGTGAGATTAAAGATCTCTGATTTGACCTTGGAATTATCTAAACATTTTATATGCAATTTAATAAAAAAACAAACAAATCATAAGAAAAGCACACTATCTCTACAATATCTTTTCTAGAAATCCATAATTCCAATCTCTTACTGGGAAAAACATACACACCTAATGTGGGACATTCTACAAAACACCTCGTCAAAACTCCTGAAAATATTCAGTCTTGAGAAACAAGAAAAAAACTGAGGAACTACCACAGTCCAGAAAGATTAATGCAAAATGATAAGTAATGCAATCCTGAATCAGATCCTCGAACAGAAAAGGACATTAAAGGAAACATAGGTGAAATCTAAATAAAGCTGGAGTTCACACAACATAATACAACAATATTCATAGTTTCAACAAATGTACCACAGCAATGAAAGGTAATAAAATTTTGGAAAACAAACTGCGTACAGAGTACAGTGATACCTCAGTTATCCACCTCAGTTTACTCCAAATTCATGTTGAAAAACCAAGATGTTTGAGAACTAACTAAAAATGGAAAACCACTAGTTCTGAGATCCAAAAGTTACATTTATAAATTCATTTTTCCAGAACATTAACAAGTTTTGTAATGATTTCTTTAACTCTTGCTTTAACTCTACATGGTTCTCAAAGTTTTCCTCTAAGCTTATCGCTGGTATCACCAACTTTTCTCAGCACCATGGCTATGGTATTTTACACAAATACACACATACATCAAAGAAGCCCAATGAGGAATGTTTTAATGCATGAACACAAGCACCATATCTTGTATGTGCAGGAACAGCACTTTGCACTAAAGTGTTACCCCTTTGTGTCCTTGGTGAGAAGTGCCATGTGACTCAATCTCAGCCTTTACAGGTTTTTTTAAGTCAAATTTTCAGCTGGACTATAGAGCGAAGTTAGAGTAAATTCTTTTTTCAAACTTCTCTGTTTGAGTAGTGGCAAGTTCAACCATGAAGCTTTTGATACTAGCAGACACTAGCTATTATCCTTGCACCTTACCTAGCAGGGCCACTGTGCGAATCTGAGAGTACAGTTTGTGAACAGTTCTGAAACTGAGAAGGAGTAGGCAGAGCATAAACAATTGCTATTATAACTATGCGCTAAAATGCCTTACCTCTGTACAATCAGAAAATATAGACATCTACTCTAGAGTATCCAGTACGTTCAAATCTTGAGTCTTAGGAAAACAACTGCCTGAACTTCCTAAACAAAGGATCCACTGAGAAGAAAAGAATATGCATAAGAATCTCCTAATGAATGCACCTGATACCAGCAAACATGTAGTAAGCCTATTACAGTCTTTCACTCACAGTTCTTATAACTGAAACCGCTGGACAATATACTAAAAACAAGTACCTCAAGACCAGAAGAGTTAATAATGGGTGGGCTACAGAGCAGAGCAAAAATCTGAAAAATGACAGAAAAACAGGAATGAGTGTTCTTGGTCTGTCTGATAGTTTGTTCATTTGTCTGTTTTTCCTTTTCTCTCCTCGTGGGAAATGAGGGTAGTCCCTTGCAAAACTGTACAGCAGGTACAACAGGCAAAAATTCTATATAGAAAGCCCACCTTGCCCTAAATTTAGCTCAGCGGCATAAGCGCCTGCCTTGCAGGCGCACAGTTGTAAGTTCAATCCCTGATACCAAAAAAAAAAAAGAGGCCACCTTTCTGCACCAAAGGACCACGAAAATGCAGCTCTGCAAGACACAGAATGTGAGTAGAATCTTCATGTTTTGTTTTTTTTTCCCTCTCCCTTTTTTCTTCCAGCTCTCATATCCTAAACGCTACCTCAGCAGAACTACAATGTGGCAGCTGTGCAGGAACCTTCTGGCCAAAAGAACAAGGAAATAGAACTCTGTGGTCCAAAGAATGTGCAAGGACTCCTCATTACTTTTTTCTGATTCCTTCATCAAGAAAGCAGCCCCAGTCACAGAAACCTACATAGCAGCCAAGGTGGCTATGGATCAATGACAGAAATCCCATCTTTCTAGCCAAAAAAAAATATAAAGTTTTACTGCATACAGCCTGGCATAACCCTTTTATGCATGGCTATGTGTTGATAAAATTTTATTTACAAAAAACTGGCAGCATATTTGGCTTGCCCAGGTCTACAGTCTGAGGCCTGTGTCTTACAATACATGCACTACAAGTTATGCATTCCTTCTGACACTTTAGCTACATCTCATAAATTTTGATATGTACTGCTCAGTTTGAAATATCTTCTAACTTTTCTTGTAATGTCTTCTTTGATAAAGTTTATTCACAAGTGTTAAATGACATCAGCAAAAATTATAGAAGAGAGAATTTCAAGTCTATCCTTTAACAAAAACAGCATAAATTGACAAAAACTGTCATCAACTACTACATTAAAGCCTTAGAACGGATACAAAATTTATAGAAACCAGGAAAATATTTAATCAAGAAAAGGCAACTGAGTTTCAATAAAGGAATCCCTGTCAAATCACGAGTGAATTAGTAAACTAAACAAAGACTTCAGAGACTACATACAAGAACCAGATGTCATGAAATTAGTCCAAAGAAGTCACTAGGAAACAGCAGAAACCATAAGCAGCAATAATAAATCCTAGAGAAGGGAAAGAACTTGATTCACAGAATTGTTTTACTATAATATTTAGTGTCCGCTTTAAAACATATATATGACATACAATTAAATATATGTAACAAAATTAAATCAAATTATCTATCTATATCTATCTGCTTAGATAGATAGATAGGTACACTTATATGAGAGTTATGCAAAGAACAAGTAAGCATGACCTGGTCACAAGAGGAACTTAATAAAAACTCCCTAGGAGGAAATTCAGTTATTGAACTTATTTTGACAAAGACAATAAAGCAACAATTAAGACATAATCAAAGAGGTAAAGGCAACCATGTACAAAAAAATTAAAGGAAGACTGGGCATGAAGCTCAGTGGTAAAGTGTTTGTCTAGCATGCATTGGTTCAATCCTCTATACCACAAGGAAGAGAAAAACAGAAAAGAAAATCATGAGAGTCAAACAGAGATGTACAGATATCCCATCAAATACAAAATATGCATAAAAAGTAAAAGCTGTGGGAAAAAAACAAATTCTGAAAGAGAATCATACAATAAACTAAATTCATTATAGGGATTCAGCACAAGATTAAAACAAGTAGAAGTCTTAAATAAGTAAGCTAATGAAGGTCTACGTATATTGGCATGCACCACTACATCTGACTAGTTAGACATTTTTTTTCTATAAAGTTGTAGGGATTGAACTCAGTACTGCACTGTGCTACATTCCCAGGCCTTTTGATTTTTTTCAAAAAATTTTTTTGGGTCTTGGTAAATTACGGAATCAGGCCTGCCTGGATCTGTGATCCTACTGCCTCAGCCTCCCAACTAGGATTATCAAATGGGGGGAGGGGGCTTGCTGATCTATCCAATTTTTAAATCTGCCTTGAGAATGACACTTGCTTTCTGCTAGACATTCTCAGCATCTCTAACTATCACCCACCCTCACATATACAGACACATAGTTTTTACAATAAACCAGAATGTGTGGAGAGATTGTCCCTTATGGTTCTCTCATTTCCAGTCTGCCTAGTTGATTTATAGCTAGTCTTCCACTATCAGCACACCCTCAGACTAACAAATACGTGGTTTGAATTTGTGTGTTTCCTACATTCTTACCACTTTTAGCAGACATACACAGATTTTTTACTCATTGTCATAATATGAGTTAGTCCTCTGGCAGCAAAGCTGCTGGCTTTTCAACTACAATTCTTGCCACAAGGGCTGACATAAGAGGTCACAGTAAAGGCCCCATGCGAAACTGTAATGGACTTTCACTACAATATTCTTACCTGAAGCTCTGAAAGTTTCCTAACAATAAGTGCTTTCCAATTTTTTGTCTACCTTTGGTTAACTTCCAGAACCTTAATACTTTCAGGCAATTGTGCCACTTTATACTTGCCTTCTGTGGTAAGGATAAACTAAATTCTTCATAGCTCTAAATCCTGCTCATTCTCATTTTATATGAGAAAATAAAGCCTTTGGGAGACTAGATTATTTGTTTAAAAGACAAGCCTTCAAAGACAAATTTATCCCTTAGTAAATGGTATGCAAAGCATGGTCCTTGTGTGTGAGCAGCACCTTGTTTGCCTAGCTTTTTCTTTGTCTTCTGTAAACATTTTCTCTTTTTTTAAAAGAGTAGTATCACAATATATACATCATTTACTAAATTCACATAGATCTAGAATAATTTCATTCATTCAAGAGAAAAAGAATTCAGCAAGTAGATGATAAGCATAAAATAAAATATATGATCAAAGATTAAGCCTCTGCTATGCTAATATGAAAAACCCTCACTTACCCTTTCTCCCTTTCCCTATCAAGAATACAACCTGGTACCCCAAGTTGAAAAAAAAAAAGTAGCAACAGCTACTCAGGACAAAGCACCAAAAATGACAGAATTCATAAATGTGAAGTAAACAGATGAGATCAGATCCACACATAAATGGACAAAGAATACACACACACATATATAATAGAGTACTATTCACCCATAACAACAAAATTTTGTCATTTGTGGGAAAATGAATGAGTCTGAAAACCATCATTTTGAGTGAACTAAGCCAGACTCACACAAATATTGCATGTTCTCTCTAAAGTGTAGAAATTAAAACACAGGACAAAAAAGTAGAAGGGGGACTACTGGACAAAAGA